TGCCAATCTGGCCAAATCAGAATAACGCGTTTCCTTGTCCCCTTAACCTCACCTGTATATATACTTCTCCGTCTCTTCCTCTTCTCCTTAGCAGATGCTTTTAGAAAAATACCCCTAAAAAAAAAATCTGCATCTGACTATTTTTCTCTTCCTAAATTTACCACAATTTTCCTCAATTCGATTTTTTAGGAGAGAATTTGATACAGAGTTGTTGTTGTGATTATGCCTTCAATAGAAGATGAGCTGTTTCCGTCAACGCCTGGTAAATTCAAGATTGACCGGTCAAACCGACAACTCCACCGATGTTTTGCCTCAACGAGCACCATGTTCTTATGGGCTCTCTTCTTAATCGCTCTAACCGCTTCTTACTTAAGTTTCCAAAGCTTCGTCGATTCCGGTAGCCGTTACCTCACCGCTTCATGGGGAGGAATCCAATGGGAGAAACAAGTCCGTACCTCCGCTCAGATCCATCGTTCCGGTGGTGTCTCCGTTCTAGTCACCGGAGCAACCGGTTTCGTCGGTAGCCATGTCTCACTCGCGTTACGAAAACGCGGCGATGGAGTCGTGGGTCTCGATAATTTCAACAATTACTACGACCCGTCATTGAAACGTGCTCGAAGATCGCTACTTTCGTCGAGAGGGATCTTCGTCGTTGAAGGAGATCTAAACGATGGTAAGCTTTTATCGAAGCTTTTCGATGTTGTTGCTTTTACTCATGTGATGCATTTAGCTGCTCAAGCTGGAGTTAGATACGCTTTAGAGAATCCTCAGTCGTATGTACACAGTAACATCGCCGGACTTGTGAATCTACTCGAGATTTGTAAATCGGCGAATCCTCAACCGGCGATTGTTTGGGCTTCTTCGAGCTCTGTTTATGGACTCAACGAGAAAGTTCCGTTCTCTGAATCTGACCGGACTGACCAACCGGCGAGTCTCTACGCCGCGACGAAGAAAGCCGGAGAAGAAATCACGCATACGTATAACCATATCTACGGTTTATCGATAACCGGTTTAAGATTCTTCACGGTTTACGGTCCTTGGGGTAGACCGGACATGGCGTATTTCTCCTTTACAAGAAACATTCTTCAAGGTAAACCGATCACGATCTACCGTGGTAAAAACCGGGTTGATTTAGCTCGGGATTTTACTTACATCGACGATATAGTCAAAGGGTGTTTAGGATCTTTGGATTCTTCGGGTAAAAGTACCGGTTCGGGTGGTAAGAAACGTGGAGCAGCACCGTACCGGATCTTTAACCTTGGGAATACATCTCCGGTTACTGTACCGATTCTGGTTGATATATTGGAGAAACATTTGAAAGTGAAAGCAAAGAGAAACTTCGTGGAGATGCCTGGAAACGGCGACGTTCCGTTCACGCACGCGAATATTAGCTCAGCACGAAATGAATTCGGGTATAAACCAACGACCGATTTGGAAACCGGTTTGAAAAAATTCGTTAGATGGTATCTTTCTTATTACGGATACAATACTAAAGCCAAGCTTGTACATTAAAAAAACGGTGGAAATTTTATTTTATTTTTCAACGGAATTTTTTTTCTTAATTTTAATTTCCCCCCTACATTTATGTGATTCGTTTTCTAATTACTGTTTTGTTTAGTTGTTTTAATTTGGGGAAGAGATATATTTACTAGGATGATAATAAAATCTGAATATTATTCTTTTCTCTTAAGACAGGCAAGAAACAAAAAAGACAGGTTACTTATCACGTTATTGTATTAAATATTGAGTATCGTGATTTTAGTCTTCTGATTAAGTAAAACTTTCTCTTACCAAATAATCTCCTGCCAAAATTGTTGATTACGGATCTACGATAGCATTATTAGTGATATATTCTGGAAATAAAATTAAAATAGGAATAAAGACAGCTGGGGAAGAGTGGGGACCACAGAGAAAGTGGGGTTTTTAATTAGTGGTGTATATGGGGTCCACTAGACTTTTATTTAAAAAGGTGCTGTACGGTAACCGTTGGATCCTGTGAGGAATTTTAAGTTGGAGTCGTAATCTTACGGTCCAGCTGTGTAGTAGTCATGCCACGTTATCTTCTCCACCGACACTAACGAGTAGTACAAAATAATAAATCATTTTTGTATCAAATTTGTGTTTCTGAAGGTAGCAAATTACAAGCACGCATGTAGGAACTGGAAGCATGTGTGTATAATTTTTTAAAAATTTGCATATAATTTTTGGACTGTTTATTATTTTTGAATATATAGTATATAAGATCTTTTGTTTGACAAAGTTTGCACTTGATTATTATGTCAACTTTTTCAAAAAAACGTGAAAACACGAATTAATAAATGTCATGAATGATGAAAGAAAATAACTTAATCATATTTTCAATATACTAGTCTTTTACATTTGAATAGTATGAATTTCAAGAACAAGACTTAAAGTTTCTTCAAATAAATCCTTTATTTTTTTTGTTGTTGTTGCCCACCAAATAAGTTCAACCAAACGAATTAGCATATTCGGATAAATATGGTGGGCCATTGGATGAAAACAAGTAAGTATATTAGTTTAGTTGCTAGAAGACCAAAACAGATAAATAAAGTGATCAGATGTTAAAAAGAAAACACCTCGTAATTAAGCATTTAGATATCTTTTTGATGTCGGCCATACGAAGCTGTTGTTTTTAGCATTTATAAATTTAGCTGAAATAGCATTTATAAATTTAGTTGAAAAAAAAAAAACAAAAGAGAATGTCTTTCTTGGTGGATAGAAGAAGAGATGGAAACAATTTATTATGGTTTGATCAAGACGAAGATGATGATCGAAGGGTCATCATCTAGTTCAATGTCTCTATGCTATGCTATCATTAAACTGGTTTTATTTTTGGTAGTTTCGTGACTTGCTGATTTAGATATTTAACGGTGGATTTTATATTCTAAAGATTGGTTATTCACATACATATATGAGTTTTAGTAAGAGATAATCTACTACAGAAGTGATCTATGATCTAAAGTGTGTTATTTTGAATGTTTAAAAAATCGAACAACAAGTTTTCTTCTGATTGAACTGAAATTTGGTAAAGTGTTCAATTTCATGTGTATCTAGAATTAATACGGTGAAATTTTGATTTGATGATTGTAATCCTAAAGAAACAGCTA